ATCTCAAGCCATGAGGTACTGGACTGAATGAAAACAAGCAAACATGCTAGTAGCAGCATTTTTTGCCCTCTGCTTACTAACTGGAGATGTTCTATGACCAGTTGCCTCCAGCTCCTGCTGTCATGACTCCCCAATTATGGTGGACTGTGACTTTGAACTAGGAGCCACTTTTCTTCACTGAGTTGTCATTATCATGTAATTTTGTGTCAGCATTGCGGAAAGTAACTAACACCCAAAATACATACCATGAAATGACACTACTGTCATAAAATAAACCTGCCCATCTGTACTTAGGGCATAAGATTTGGTTTGTTGGCAGAATATGGAAATGCTTGAAACTTTGGCCCCCATAAAGTCCCTGAATGCTATAAGCAGAGATAAATGGGCCATTCTGATGAGATATTGGAAGAGCAGAATGCCGAGAGACCAATGGAAAAATGGAGGTAAGGCTAATGAGTGGTGTAGGATAATTGTCTATATTCTGTCAATCATGTTTTAAATAAATGTTGATTGGCCAGGCAGGAAGTATAGGTGGGTCAACTAGACAGGAAGTAGAGGCAGGGCAATGAGAACAGGAGAATGCTAGGAAGGAGGAAGACCATTTCTCCCATTCCTGCCCAGACCACCGAGAAGCAAGTTGTAACCCGCCCAGCTGTGAAAGGTACCGAGCCATGTGGCTAACATAGATAAGAACAATGGGTTAATATAAGCTATAAGAGCTAATAAGTAGCATGAGCTAATGAGTCAATCAGTTTATAATCTTATGGAGTCCTTTGTGCGATTTTCTTTGAGACTTGCCAGCTGTGGGTTACCGGGCAGGACAGAAACCTTCATGTTACAAATGAGGTTTCCGAGAACAAATGCTCTATCAGAAACTGAGTGCATATGGTGTTGTGGCCACTTTTCTAAACAGCAGCAATCAACACCGACACAGATTCTTTCACCTTCTTTCACAGATTGAGAGAGTACTGTTTTTAAATTATATATAAACTGAATTTAACCCACATAAAGGAAAGCTTGATTTAAATGGCAGGGTGTAACCTTGCGGTCTCTATTGTATCATTTATTACAAATTGAAAACAAGTGGATTTAAAAATGAATTCATGGATGAAAGACTCATCATTAATAACTAAGGGAAACATACTTGATAGTTGTTGTCAAACGTAATATTAATATGCAAAAAGAACAAGCTTGTCTTCCTATGAATACCCTTAAGAGTCAATTTGTTGGATTGGATATTCCCTGAGGCTGATGCATTAAAGCACTTATCAAGTGTAAATAGCTAATAACTGGTATCTGAATTAATAAAAATGTATATTAACCTTGAGTTTTATGTGATGGTGGCCTATAACAAGCATCAAAAGACAATAAACTTGTCCTTATCTCCTGGCATTATTCAATAACTGCAAACAATGTTGTTTAAAAATGATTCAATAGCCTTAAATGAAGTAATAGAAGTATGGAGGCCTTTTGTTAGTTAGAAACTGTTAGAGTCCTGACTCAACAAACAGGAGCCTACCCAGTCAGATAATGTAGACGCAGTGTATTTTTAGATGTGTCAAGTAATTAGAAACACAAATGAAATTTCAAAGTCCTAGAAAGAACTGATTTGTTCTGTGCTTCGTTTATAGACTGCTGTCCAGAAAATGAGTTTCAACCAGTTGCTATGTGAATACCAGTTATTAGAGTGGCTGTTTGTTATCGAGCCTGTGGGAGGTGTAATTAAGTCAGCTAAACTAATCAGGATGGGCGTGACTTCAGCATATTCCCCTTCTGTCTCCCATAGCACAAAGCTGTAGCAACAGAAAGATATGCTTTGGGATCGTGGTGTGGCTTAGTGGTAGAGTGCTTGCCTGAAATGTGTGAGACCCTTGGCTACATCCCAGCAGTTAAAAAATATATATATACTAGCATGAAAAGAGAAAGGACGAGATGTGCTCTCATTTTTATCTCAGTTACAAACAACATGACTGGGGTAGAAAAGTCAGCTGTTCCAAATCTTTATTCATTATCCTTAAATTGAATTTATAACACCTACCTCATCAATATGCAGTGAGCATGAAATGTTATAAATGGATATTCCATCTTTTAGTAATATGAGACTTAACTGAGAACCATTGACAAATCAAAGTTCTCATTACAGTGTCTGGCATAAAGTAGGTGTCAACCAACAATTAACTTCCCATTTCCTAAACATATTCAGAGCCAGATTTTATAGCCAAGTGGATGAAAGACTACTTTATCTGAATCAAAGACTCATAGTCCTCCACTATGTTACTATAAAATGAATGGGATTAGTGACTACAACCCTAACCAACTTCTCACTGAGCTGGATAGATAGAATCCTCATAGTTGTTTAATCTACATGTTAGACATCAATAGAAGGAGAAAGAAGTTCAAGTATACCTAATAATGGAAATCACTATTAGGTAGTAATACCAGCAATTTAGTGTGTGGATGCCCAAACTGTAGTTGTGTTCAAAGACTAGAGAGCATGGGATGCGTCCTGAGATACAATTACCAAAATTGTTCTATTGACCCTACTAATTGATCTAACTCACTTATGAAACTTTTATTTTTAATCATTGTCTGTGAATTTCGAGCCATGAGGACAATAAAGATCTTTAAGACAAGATTTTGTGGGAAGCATTTTTCATTCTTCTGATAGCAGCTTCTGAACCTTAATAAAGAGACAGTTACAGAGGCCACCAATGCAGAGGACTTTTCAGATGTAACACAAACTCCCACATCCATACTAAGTGTGTGTGGTACTTGATTTTGACAACATTCTGGTAGAAATTCCATATAAACTAAATGTTATGTTTTTGGAGATCACATGAGAGAAGGTGCATTCAGGGAGGTATGGCCATAGACTCTATTTGTCTTCAGAGGTAATGACTGTAGTAATAAAATCAAAGTTCTGCATGATGACATCCCAGAATTAAAGAAAGGGTGAGTAATTAGATCAACGTGAGTAAAAGCAAGAGATGTGATTTTCCTCTAGTATTTTGTAATTGGTACAAAATGGAGGTGGGGTAAGTAAGATCAATCATATACTTCTCCCTCACTAGCGTGTTTTTCAGTGGGTAAAGTCTAGTTACATCTTCATCCGTGGGAATATACTCAGACAGACTTCGAATTCAGTAGAAATGGAAAAATCAACTACTTTTTGCAAGCACCTTGTTCTGATATGCATAGAAGTAGATTAGGGATGATAGGAATTTTATTTAATCTCTAGACAGAGGCTAGAAATAAAGGGAGAAGCCAGCTACTGTTGAGGAAAGACATCCAGGGAGACTGGCACCAGTATACCTACTGGGATTCACACTGTGGTACTGACTTTATGTAGGGAATTTTCTCAGAATACTCAGAGGTGTGTGGGATAATACAAAGGATTACTGCTAGTAATCCCCTCAGGAAACTCCTGTGTAAGGCAAACACCTTCTTTACTTACAGTGGGAAGCAACTGCCAAACAGGCTAGAAGACTTGAGTCCGGTGACCAGGGAATATGTCTAAAACAAAATTGAAATAAGAAAGTAACTATAGTCATAGTACTAGGAGACCAATCAGTAAGAAGAAAGTGGGGTGAGTATCACAAGAGCTGATGATACAAATTGGGATGGCTTCATAACACAATCCCTGCCAAATGGAATACAGGGCAGTATCCCATCTCTGAGATTAAGGATATCAGTGTTCTATTTTTAGTTATTCTTTCTATGTATAGGCATTATACAAATCATTCTGTTGTTAATGTCTTCTGCCCACTTAGGATTAAGGCCTACCTCACTGGATGAACTCAATCAACAGAATAATCTCCTTAACGCTGTATCCTTGGCTAGAGGGAGGGGTTTCTAAAGCCTTTTACAGTAACAGACTATACCTTTGAATGTGTGATACATCTATTTTGTGTGTGTGGATTCTAATTCGTTTCATTAAGTCCAATTACTTCTAATTTCTTTTATAACTCTGTTATGCTAACTTATCCGTCATTCCAGTTGAATTTGACAGTATATAGTGCATGATTACTCTATAATCATTTTTAATGATAAAATGTTTGACAGTCAGAAGTACAGAATTTTGACAACTCTCCATTGCTTTGTTCTACAAACTTCTTGAATGAGGCCATGCAAAAGATGTCGTTTACTGAGAATAATTCATAAAGATACACCCAGAAGTGAAAAAGGAGTTGAAGCTCTTAGCCGTGAATTGAGTACCTTCTTTTGGACATTGTGAAGTTCAAAGATTTCTTGCATTAAATGTTATGAATCTTGAAAAGATGGTTCATGGTGATAAATAGGTGGCCTTAAGGAAAAGAAGCATAACTCATCAACTTACATGTTGAATATTCCTATTGACATCAAAAGCACATAGTATATTCAGTAAGAAACTGACTAAAGGGCCATTTGAGTGAGTTTCTATTTAGAAATTATGCCTATCTTGACAATTTTCACAAAAATATACTTGAATCATCTAATCTATAATCATGAATTTCCTCTCTGTATGTGGAAGTGTTCTTTAACTACTTCTAACAATGCTTTGTATTTTTCATTATAAAAGTCTTAAATTCTTCTTATTAAATTGTAGTCATGGATCTGGATGTTTCATTTACATAAATGAATTTATCTACTTTACATTGTTGAATGTTTGTTGCACATTTGCATAAATATGATTAAGTTTTCTATACTGACATTGTATCATGTGACCTTACAATTTTTTCTAGTAATTTTGAATTGGGTATATATTTGCATGTTCTTTGAGAATTTCTTTTGCATGTTCTTTATGAATTTCTGCATTTTAGATGATGTCATCTACAAATAAAGTTGGGTTTATTTTTTCCTTCTTCTACTACCTCCCCCAAGAAAATAAATGAAAGAAGAAAAAGAACATGACAATAGGTCATTTGGAATAGTCTTTTATTATAGAATTGGAAGAGATAGATGATGATTATTTATGGTAATCTCAGAATCAATCAACATTTAAACAACCCTTTTTGATAAAATTTCTCATACAATCTCAGTATTGCAAAGGGGATTTCATAGCACAATCCAAGTATGTATATTCATATCATCTTACTATGGCAGTTTAAAGAGTAATGTAGATATAACACAAGCTACTGACAAAAGAACTAAGTGCTTGTGAATGCAAGTAGGGACTGACACAGTGGTTAGTGAGGCACTGATGGATGAAGAGATATTCTTGGTACAACAAGATGAGAGCAGTAAGGCTCAATATGGGATTCAGTATTGAAAAATAAGCACAACTCTCCAGGATCAAGACCAAAGTGCAATGGCACTTCATGTTCTCAGAGACCTTGGTGACTACTAAGGAATATTCAATGAGTGATCTTCAGAAGATCCATTACAGAGAACTACATCAGCACCGACAAGCAAGGAACAAAGAACTGACAATTACCAGCAAATACTGAGCAACATTAGATGTTAACATTTCTAAGAAGTTGTGCCTTTCTAGCACATCATTCCACTTTTTGCAGAAGCATCATCTACACCATCTATTTATACACAGAGCTGATGTGTGCCAAGAGTACAAGACAAGCAAAAGAACACCCCAGTTCTTGAGTTTTGTGCACAGATGGTGTTAATGTATATGCACAGGGTTTTTCAGATGAGTTGGTTGCAAAAGTTCCATGTCATCTCATTGCTTTCTGATGTCCTCAATTAGATGACAACACCCAAAGGTGGTCCATTAGAATATAGTTTGGTAGCAATTGGCAGTGTTTTTAAATGGTGAGGCCTAGAAAATCACAACTACTGCAGGCTGGAAAATGAGCTCTTGGTGGAGATTTGTCTCTATTCAGGTAGCAAGAATGTGCTGCTGTTAAGTAACTACAATATTACACCTTAAACAACAGTTTACAAATAACTTAGTTGTTTCTTATCCTAAACCATAAGACTTAGCCATCGATATGTTCAAGTCTCAAATAGAAACATTAGTATAGATATGACTAAGCTTGGGTTGGCGGATTTAAAGTATGCTAATTACCAAAAAGGCTATTCCTCAAAGAAAGGTGCCAGTGATTAAGCAGTACTCAGTTCAAATGATGATAAAATCTGATTTGCCAATAGTCAAGAAGTTCAACAGGTTGGATAAGTAGGTGTCTTTAGATGGAAACAAAATATATAGTTTCATGGAAAGGTAGTAGATATTCAGGTCCAGTAAGATTGGCTTGTATCAGCACTATATTCTGATTAATAGGCAGAACAGAATTCAGATTCTAGTCTCTCAATGACAAGAATATTGGTAGGATATGATGATGCCACTATGATCGCAAAGAACCTGAACAAGTAAATAACTAAGACACAGGTCAGTAAAGAAGATAAAAGCTTTGGACTCTGTCCTAGACACACAAGCTATAGGACTTGAACCATCAGAGTCAACCAAGATTTCCCTTCATTGGTAAGGAAGTGAAACTCAATATATCGTTAGTGTTAATATTTTGTATGTGTGACTCAGACTGGAGAGACTTTTATCTGCAAAATTTCAAAATTCTTGAAAAAAATGGCCATAACTAGAAAGTTCCTGTTCGTTGTCTTCATCATTGTTGCTGTGTCAAGTTTGGTCAGGGGCCATCTTCCAACCAACAATTTCCAGTTGTTTAAATTCCTGGCAACATAAATATTCGTGCTTGTTTTTAAGATGATGTCACAGCAACTCATTTGTATTTTGCAATTTGTGAAAGTTAATAAATCACTAAGGCCAATGGTGAAAGGGCTATGTGTTTACAAAGTGATTTCCTATACTCCTTTTACTTGTGAGCTACATTTTTCTCCTTGCTGGAGTTCGAGAACGTTTAGCAAGGCATTCTCTTGTGAAATGATCAGCCTGGCTACAGTAAAGACATAACTGAGTTTCTTGCTGGCGGGCTCTCTTGGCTGGGGTGACGGGCAGTTGGGCTCCCTGATTTTGCTTGGGCTCATCCTTGGCTTGTAGACCTATGGGACTGAGGAAGGATTGGTGGTGATTGCTTGTGGACGAGAACATTGGAACCTGACTTTCTGACTGTAGGAGTTCTGGCCTGTCTTTGTATTTTTTGTCTAGCTGAATGCACTGAGTGACCAAATCTGGTAGATTGCTCATTATATCTGTGATTTCTTCATCCTGGGTAGGCTCAGTTTGTTCCTTTTGGAAGTTGTTGCTCTGACTGGTCTCACTATAACTCAGATTTTGAGGAAGAACTTGGAAAGCAGTAGCATCCTGCTGATTGTTGTCTCTACTGTTAACCTTAACATTCAGAGGCAGGGTAATTTCTTGTTTCATGGGTTCACCAAATGACTGCTGTAACTCAAGAAGCAAGTTTTCATATTGTTTCAATAGATTACTCTGGTTGGACTCAGAAACGACATCACAACTTTGCATCTGCTGAGATAGGTAGTCAAAAAAGTGCTTGACTCGGGCATCATCTGCAGGATTGGAAATCTTGAGAGCTGTCAAATAGGTAGTTACCTGAGCAAGAAACCCTGTGGCACTGGTTGGCTTACCATGAAATTGAGGAAGATGGTTGCCTGAGTAGGGTACAGATATCACTGGGGTATTCGGGACAGGCACAACTTGCTCTCTTAAAGTGGGGTTATCATCATTTGGGTGCTGCATTTGTGATGGTACAATCAGGTTATCTCCTTTCAACAAGGAAGTCTCTGCCTTTAAGGTAGGTGGCGATTCTGTATACTTTTCCATTGTCTTCTGGAATTATGTAGAACTGGATAGAAATTCAGTATCAGTATATAAGACCAAGGGGCAGGCAGTGGTTTGGTTTGGGATCAGAAAAGACACTGTCATGTACAAGCAGGAAACAGCTATTCAATGTCACTACAGAATGCTGAGAGTTGAGCTGAAGAGATGCCACAAGAATGTTATATTCTATTCCTCACAGCTTCTTCATGGAGAATGTCAGTGTTCAACACGCTCCGAAGACACACATCACTCTGGAACACACAGAAGAGAGGATTTGTATTAAGGAAATATCATAGACACAGTAATATTTCTGCCCTCTCTTTCTTTGTAAGTATAGACATTAAACTTCATACTAACCCTTTATTCTAAAATGTCTTTTATAATCACTGTCAAAGGTTTTAGATTAGAGTTCAAAATAGCATTGGCTATCATCCAGACCAACAAAATTTATGATTTCACAGATTGAAAACAAAGACTCAGAGAAACAAAAATGTTCGCTCAAGGTCACCCAGCTAGTTAATATCAGATTTGGTATGCTCATCAGGGCAGCAATCCAAAACAGCACTTCCTCCAGCAATTCATATTCTGCTTGAGTGTTATGATACATCATGCTACTGATCATTCAAAACCTGATATGGGGACAAGAACATTGGATCTCAACAGAGGGGTTTTTTAGGAATACAGAAATCCAAGTCCCATCACGGACCCACTGAATAACTTTTCACACTTTGTCAAAATTTCCAGTGTGATTAGAATGTGTATTGTGGTTTGGGAATTACTTTGTTTAAAATGAAATGATTCCTGACTGTATTTCACACTCACTCCTTTAAGTCTATTTTACTGCCAGATATCTGGATGCGGTGTTGTTAGTTAATCTGTTTTTTTCCCTACCATGTCCTTGTCTGAGGTCACATTTTTGTTGCCATGGAAATAATTAGGACATCACAAGTAAGATGAATACATAAGGTTGAGAACCTCACAAATAAGAACAAGATGTTCTTAAAGGTATAAAGATCAAAATGTTCAACACTCTTCCAAGAACTGATAAATAGGATAAAGTAATGAATAAAAATCAAAAATATTCCCCTAACATATAACATGTCAGTTGGTTTGAACTATGCTTTACTTTAGTCTCTTTCATTGCTCTTCCTTTCGGGGCATATAATCTATATGTACTTATTAAAGGACTTTTAAAAATGTACTTATATGTACTACCAGGAGGCAAAAAAGTACATCACTGAATCTTTCAAACTATCAGTCTCTCAATGGATAGGAGATGGACCTAGGGAAAAAAACCAATATTACTGTTATGCTACGGGGACATAGCAACAAATAAGCTCCTAGTGGCATTCTGCTCTGCCCATGGATCAGAGTCTTGATCATCTATCATGAGAGAAGCTTCTTTGTGCAGTAGATGAGACCTAATACAGACCCATAACTGGACAATTTATAGCTACTGAGAGCCCTTGAGATGCCAGTCCTAAATGATGTTTTCATCACTTTCTCTTCCACCAGGGTTCAGGAAGCTATGTAGAAAAGAAGGCAGAAAGATTGGAAGAGCCAGAAGGGATGGTGGGCACCAAGTAAACTCTGTCTTCCAGATACAAGAGGACTGAATGAATATCTGAACTCAGAGACTGTGGCAACATCCACAAGTTCAAACCAGGCACGGTCCCAGGGCTGGGAGGGGGAAGTGGATACCAGCTCCCATACCTAATCGAAAAGCTATGTCCAATTGACATCCGCTTGCAAAGGAATCATTATTTTTCTCCAGTGGAGTCTCATTGGGTATATTAACCACACTTAAGGGGGAGCCCATGCCCAGCAATAGATGGTCTAAGGATGGACCCATGCCCAACAGTAGATGGGCAGCACTAAATGAAACTCAGTGATATTTTTGTAGATTGTTTTATCTCATATTGCTTTGTTTAGGCATTTTTGTTTTACAGGCATTTTGGTTATATACTATGATGTCTGGTTTTATGCTTTTGGTGTGTGTTTATTGTGCATTTTTCTTCGTTTTTGCTGCTGGTTTGTTTGTTTTTATTTGTTTGATTTCCAAAGTGAGAAATAGAAAGGATTGAAGTTAGCAAGAAGTTAGCAAGGATTGGGGAAAAGTTGAGGGAGGGGAAAATGTGATCAGGATATATTATATGAATATGTATATATATACATATATATATGCATATCTGAGCAGTAACTGCAATCAATGCACTTGGACTTGGGAGTCCAATTCAGGAGAGATTAAGAATTTGGAGAAAGGTACAGGCTAGTCAGAGCTACAAAGTGAGATGTTATCAGTAACACACAATTAACCAAGACTTGTTTTCATAGGTTTCTTTGAACAGTCCAATGCTCTAGACTAGTGGAATGCATTGTAAGACTGAAACAGCATAAAACTATAGTCTAGAAGTCTGTGACAAACACTAGTAAGGATTACTTTTGATCACAAATAAGTCATTTATGTGTAAGTTTCAGTATATATATATATATATATATATATATAGTCTAGGTGGCAAAAACACAGGATTTCTTCTAAAATGAGTTCAGTACAGTTGAGCGATGAGTGCTTACTCATGAGGCCTATGCATATCACGTGCCGATGGAGGAGAAAGAGCCATTTCTTGTTTCCTTTTCATATCTTAGTATTCTGGAGCCCTGTTATACCTTCTAAATACCTCCTTTCTAGGTTACCATCTGTGACTATATCTTTATCATTCTTGATCGGTTTCAACCAGTACTAAGATAATAAAATGTTAACAAGAGCTAATCATCAGTTTATCTCAGGATATTACTTTTTACTCAATATGTGTAACAATCAACTTGGTTCCAGTGTCTAGAAAGCCTGCTTCAGGGATTCTGGGGTGGGTTCCAAGAATCAGTACTTTCCCAACCTGGACTGCTCTTGATTTGTGATGTAGATAGTTTCTGTGCAAAGTATGGTACCTCAAGGAATAAAGATGTAGTAGTAGTGTCACAGAGAAGTAAGGATTGGAAGAAGGTATCTTTCAAAATAAGAAGGTGCTTGAGAGATATGGCAGAGTTGATGCCTTATTTGACTTTTACATAAAGCCCATAAACAGCAGACACCATCTTTCAGACAGCAGCAGAATGCAATACACAACAGGCTCTGCAGAAAGAATGATTTGGGCCCAACCCAACCGACTCAACCAAAAGCTGTATGGTTTGGGCAATTTATATAATCTCTCTGAGAATCACTGTACAAACTTTAATATATTTCTTACAAAATATAAGCTCAGTATTTCTCTTTCTCTCTGCATAATATATATATATATATGTTTCTGTTATATGTATATAAAATGTGTGTGTATATGTGTTCAACAATATGTTTGTGTTCAAATGTATATGCATGGATCACAGCTTTTCTCCTATGGCATTATTCATATTGAATGCATGTCATTAGTCAGTAATGTATAGCCTCTGGCCTAAGTCAAGAATGAGTTTTCAATTACATTTTGTCTTTAGTCTTAACAGTGCTAAATGTGGTTATCAAGGCACAATGTTTCTCCAACTCACCATGAACATTTTCACAGCACAATAAATACATCTACTCATAAAAGAAATGCTTCTAACACCTACCTCCCAGTGGTTTTGATGGCTAACTGGAATGAACAGACAACTGCACAGCTCCATGCATATGGAAAAGACCCCATAAATGTTAGGTATCATTTTTCTAGGTCCATAGGTGTGTCATCTGTGTTTTATAAGTCAAGTTTCACCTTTTCCGACTTCAGAAAGGTGACACAGAGCATTATTGTTTATTATATAACATTTCCTGCAGTATCTGGGGAAATATCCCATAATTAAGCCATTAAAATTTCAGCAGGAAAAATGTTTGAATATTCATACTGAATTGGATATAGACAAAATTCATGTCAAACCAGGCCAAGTTTTGCTGCCAACTAGGTTTTATCAACAAAATAATGAAAAAGTGGCTTCCATCTCATAGGCCTCTTTGATTTCAGAATTGAAAGAAGAAGCATTTATAGATCTCCAGTAAACTCCTTTTTTTTTAATTGGCAAGGTATGGTTATAAATTTCCCTTTATGCCTTTGCCTTTTGCCCTTTCCTTTTATTTTCAGCAATTTCATATCTTTGTGAGGGCTCTTGATTCTATATAGCATTATGTATTCAAGGTGGCTTAGCATTTAATATTCCTAATTATGTAGCAGGGATGAAACACTTGGTAAGATTAAAAGCATTAGCCTACATGCAAATCATAGAATGCCACTGTTGTCAATGGCAAATACCCATTCCCTCGGAGAAAATATACCTGGTCATTTCGGTTAGAAAATTACTTTTTCCTAAGATCATTGACCTTCTGTTGGATTCCCAATAGAAGATACTATTGCAAAGACTACCAATCTGAAGGATTGGGCCTTCAAGAGCCAAAGCAGAAACAAAGCAGCAACCTTAAATGCATACGTTTTGGAGCATCAGACTAGTATAACTGGACCAGATCCGATACAAAACTGCATAGAGATAGACCTTTTCTTAATATGGACACAACACACTTCAGTGATGACAACCATAACTCCAAATACTTTTAGTATTAAAATACTTTTAGTAAACTGTTGTGAACCATTTTCTTTATATTCATTTGTCTCAAAAACATAGTTAATAGTTTCTCTGGACATAAAATGTCCTTCTAAAACCTTTTGAAACCACATTGGAAGAAATACCTTGCTGTAGCTCAGATCTATAATGTGCTACAAAAAAAAAGGGTTTGGTTTTTATCTTAGCTCAAGTAGAAGCTGATGTGACCTTTAAGATGTAGGACATGACAAAAGGCGCAGATCACCAATGCAAGTTTTGAAGGGGATACTGGGTTCATAGTCCAGTCTTTATTACTCTATTTCCATGTTCTGGACTCTATTAAAAGCCTAAAAGCAGCAGGGCTGACTACAGATCAAAACCTCCAGACCAGTGAGCCAAAATTAATCTTTTGCTCCCCTTATCTGACTGGTTCTAGTAGCAGAAAACTGACTGTCTCCGGCCATCAGTGCTCTATTGTCTGTAAGACAAGTTTTTCTATCTCTAGACCTAAGTGCCTTTATCTCCATACTGAAGAATATTGGGCTTCTTAGTAAACTTTAGTGTACTCTAAAAATTATAACTCAAGTGGTTAGCAGAGGAGCAAGGAGTGCTTCTTTAGACATTCCTGGTAATACTGATTTAGGTGATCCTCAGCTTTATCTTGAAAATATTAGAGACTGACCACACACACATATCAACACACACACACACACACACACACACACACACACACACACACACACTGTCTCACATATAATTACAAGGTTCTCAGAAGCTTCTGGACTTTTACCATATAGAATTTTTGATTTCCTATGTGGAAAGTCTGGGACATTGACTCTGGGATGAAACCTGGCAATATGACTAGTAAATATCCTGTGCAAGTGAGGTTGAAGCAGAAATTGCAGCTACTGCTTTTGAGAAACTTTCGGTTTAGTGCTTTCGAAGGTCATGTTTTAGCATTGTCTACATTTTTGGATGAAGGGAGGAGTCAGGGCTTCACTTTTTAGCTTAGATTGGACTGAAATTGCTATGTAGCCAGGGGCTGGCCTCAAACTCACATTCTTCCTAATTCATCAGCCAAGATTCCGGGTATGTACCTCAATACTGAGTTTGTCGTTTTCAGAAGTAAAAAATATATATATATATATATGTGTGTGTGTGTGTGTGTGTGTGTGTGTGTGTCTCCCAAAGCCCCTAAAGTATGGTACGTGGATTTTTTTTTTTAAGCCTTCAGTACTTTCTTAAGTAGTGTTTCAGTGAAGGTCAGGTCTGGGCACGTGACTTTCGGCTAACTTGGAGATAAAAGACCATAGGTAACAGCGGAGTTTACCCTCTTCTTGGGACTTTGTGGCTCCCTTCCAAAGGATACAACATTCTATTCTTCTTTATCTATGAATAACAGAATAGTTGCCCACAAACCCCCTATTATAACCACAGCAGCACAGCTGCCGTGACTTACGTTCTCTTGGCCATTGAAATGAATCAGAACTCTCAGACTTTCTTTTAATTTTCTCTCTCCTTTTATCCTCAGCCGGAGCCATAGTTTAGCTTTTTATGAAGTTACAAGTAACATGAAAATTCCGTCCCCCTTCCCCAGTTTTCCTTAATAATGTTTCTTAAGTTATCAGGGAGCTACACTTGCTACATGGAGATTTCTCTAAGATTTTATCACTCAATAGCCACTTTCATGTTCATTATGTCATTTCCTGGCTACAGTTTTGCCGTTTTTCAAGTCATAAAGCAAGCTACTGAAATCTTAAGTCTAAGTCAGGGAGCAAGGGAGGAGTTTGAGACAGAAGCAGTATTCTTCAAATGACTCTCATGCAGACTGCTTTATTCTCTGAGATGAGGAAAGGACTAGTTAAAGCTAGAATTGGGAAAATGGGAATAGAGATGGGATGACTATCTTTGTAAGATAAGTTGCGAGTTCTATATCATTGGAGAATAAGCAGAACTAGAATTCCTCCATGGTGGGACATTAGAATAGAGACTCCAAGTGTCAGAAAACAGCGAGGCATCATAAAAGTGATATTGTTCTTTCAAACCCATGGATTCTATAACTTGCCTGAACGTGGAGATAAACTATGAGGAAATGGCTGTTAAGTGAGTAGATTCCCACCTGCATGTCTCCCACTTAAGCCAAACTTTACCCATTGTGAGCCCATACTACAGTCCCTATTCCTGGGGGAGACTTAGCGCCTAAGATACACAGGTCTTGTTTACTAATTTGAAGGCTTAGCTGGGTTTCTTTGTCTGTTCCCTATGCTTACATCATTTCAAAGAGTACATGCTGTTTCAAGTAAACAATTAGGGAAAGAATGGAAAAATTCTGATCTACAGATCGCAAATAGTCATAAAATGAGCCCTTTAAATTTGAAATGAAAGGTCTTCTCCTGCATTCGTGTTCCCTGCTGTCTCTTTCATCTTTAATTCATTAAGTGCAATTCACTTAGTGCTGAATACCACTTGCAACTGATGAGCTGACAGAGCCTAGCCCACTTAGATTCAAACTTCCTTTGCATTTGCAGGTCCCTGTGGTGTTGGGCAACCTGCTGCTCTGCTCAAGGTAGAGAAAGCTTAATATATACAACTTAGTATGTATCATGTTTCCTGGTTGCAGGAAATCTTATAAAAGCCACACATTAGTAGTCGTTCTCAACCTGGGGTTTGTGAACCTTGTGGGGTCAAATGACTCTTTCACAGGGGTCTCCTAGCAGATATCTTGCCTATCAGAGATTTACCTTATGATTCCTAACAGTAGCGACATTACAGTTAGGAAGTAGCAACAAAAATAACTTTGTGGTTGGGGGTCAGCATAACATGAGGAACTGTATTAGAAAGTTTGAGAACCACTTGAGTAGAGAGATCTTACAAATGAAGAATGTGAGACTCAAGAAGCAGAAATTGGTTTGAGTCATGTTTATGGGCCACTGTACCCTGGTCTAATTCCAGGCCCTTACTAGTTAGTGTTTTTGTCCTCACAAAGTCTTGACTGAGAGGGAGTAAGTTATACAGAGATTATATGCTCCATGACAGTCAAGAACGGGCACTCTGTTATTCCATAGCTGGTAACATCTCACATACGTGTAGAGGATTTTGTGCTTTCTAAGTATCCTACTACTATTTCACTCATCTCTTGGATAAGCTGTGAAGTTGGGAAGGCATGGCAGCCTCATTCAATCCAGCTCGGTAAAATAAGGAGAACATAGAGTCTGTAGGAAAGTGATGGGAAGCTTTTGATGTGAATTGGGGGCAGGGAAGCAAGGGGTGGGTATGGGTATGATTAACATACATTATATATATATATATATGTATGACATTTTCAAAGAAGAAAGGAAAAAAGTGTTTAAAAGACTACAATTATTTGATGTTTGATTTGGAACTAGAATCCTCAGCATGTGTATTTAACACAACTGTGCCCTTGAAGGTAGTTTTCAATGGTGTTTTTTTTTAATCTGAAAGTTTGAAATGAGATACTTTGAATCAAAATCCAAATCTCACTTAACCCAGACTGTGAGACCTTTAACAAGTTACCTCTGTGAGCCTTAGTTATCACATCTGCAACATTTGTGTTGCTAAGAGAGTAAATTTATGTATCTCACATATAGCTGAGGCAATATCATATATACAATTACTGGCATTTAGTAGATGTCAACATTAGCAACCATTTACAGCATTGTATTTTCTGCAGACACTGGAAATGTGCTGTCCAAAAATCCTTGTCACCAGCATCTGTTTCTATCTGAAGACCTGTATTGTTATGGAAAAAGTAATTGTGCCCATCTTCAGATGTGCAGCAAGGAGGTGGCTTAATATAAGTCATTTAACATATGACCTGCCCACATATTTTTCCATTGCAATATTTGTATCACTTGTAATGGATTATTAAACATCTATATCTCTTATTAAACTATAAGAGAAAGGAGAGAAAAATCCAACTTCATCATTATATCCCCAGAACACAACATCCTTTTTTCTATATACAGAGGCACTCAGTAATTCTCCTTTGAATTTATAACATTTATCCACAGTAGCCATAGACACAACTAGATACTGCAGAGCTGGTTCTACTGTTCCTATCCACTATATTGATCATCTTTTATTCTTTACTAAAATGAGCAGAAAATCCATCCATGTACCAGTGCATCTAAAATGTGCTCATACCACAGATGTGTTAATCAACCATATAGAAATAATGTAGGTAAAGAACTGATGCATTTGGGTTAATGTTCAGGAGACGGGTTTCCCAACCTTATACTTACTCACTCACCTTTGGAGAGCAGTGAGAAGAAATGTTTTGTTTGGATGTGTATGTAATTTAGCTTGTACCTTTTCCTCTGTTAGAAAAGGTTTCCACTATCCCAGACCCTAAATCAAGATTGTATAGAGACTTGGAAAGAAAATAAATGCAAATGAAGAGTTATTTAAAGATATGGCATTTAAAGTTAAGCTTTAGTGAAGATGGGAAAATCACTTACCTCTCATGTATAATTGGGCCACAAAGTTGAGCAATGGGGAAATTCTGGAGAAAATGAAAACAAAAGGCAGAAATAGGTGGAATTCTCTCAGCGTTTGACCACCAACAGTAGCAAACCAATTTCTATATCCTTATTACTAGAGCTATCCCCTTTTATATGTTGGCTTTCCTTAGCTCCTTGACATTGAGACAAACAGTGGTTAATGCATATCTCTGACTTTAACAGTTGCTTAGATGCTGGCATTCTTCTTAGACATGTTAATGTCCTTAAGCTTCATTTTCATTACGCATAATTGGAGCCTCTATTATCCACCACAGATGGTTGATCATTGTGTTTAATAAATCTTTAGTGAATGCTTGTTTTGTGCCAGACACTACGTTGGACACTAGGAAACAGTAATGAGCCCTCATGAAGTATAACACTGTAGAACACTGGAATTCATGCATATAAACTTCTTAACTTAACACTGCTTTATAACATCCACTTAATAAGAGATAGCTACTGTTGTAATACTTAAGATATGAGGATATACTAATTAGCACAGGATCCAGATTTAGATTTGGATTTCAATTCTAGTTTAATGATATCAACATCATGTAACTCTGAGGATCTAGATATGTTTTAGACTTCATCTATGCCTAAATTTCTCCACCTATGCCTAAATTTCTTCACCAGTAAACTAATAATGAACATAAATTTTTGTAAGATTTGGGATTTAAAACTTATCCTTTCTAAAGGCCAATAACTCTGGTCTGAAAATGTTATAAGCTAATCAAGGGTAAGATGCATCTCAAACTTACTGCAATTTGCTAATGCAAAAAGGAAAATAAAAGAAAGAATATTGTTAGAAAGACCACTAACAGGTCACAATCTATGTGCAGATATTGACAGTTCATAGGTACACAGTCTATGTGCATATATTGCAGGGATTGACAGTTTATAGGTAGTAAGTAAACAGTTCCCTGCTTAATATCCACCACAGGTGAGAAAACATTGTTACTATACTCATGACCCTTCCTTACAACAGACAAAAATGTAAACTTTGAACTTCTGACTCAAGGAAGGTCATGATTGCTTCTTTCTTTCTAATAAGTCATATTCCAACAATATCTAAATTTCTATGCATAAGACTGGCTTAAAATATGTTTTTTTTAAAGTAATTTTATTAAATTATAAAGAGTTTCCATTTACGCCCCTCCTCCCAACGCCCTCCCACTTCCCCCCTCCCTCTTCTCCTCCCTCTTTGTCCCCAAGGGCAGTCAGGGTCTCCTGCCCTGTGGGAAGTCCAATTAAAATATGTTTTATTGGCTATATGTTTTACCAAACTAAAATGATTTGAAAAGCTTAGTTAATCTTTTAGCTTTTTTGTTTCTGTTTTTTTGGAGACAGGTCTCTCTCTCTCTCTCTCTCTCTCTCACACACACACACACACACACACACACACACACACACACACTATGTAGCCCCAGCCTGCATGGAATTCACTATGTAGACCTGGATGGCCTTGTGCCTACAGAGAGCCACCTGCCTTTCCCTCCAGAGTGCTTGGATTAAAGGTCTGCACCACACCTAGCCTCAGTGAATGGGTTTTGGCAAACATATGCATCTGTTTAACACCACCACATCTGAAGATGATAGATTTCTAGTACCTCCAGATTCAGTCATGCTACTGTCAGTTAGTTTACCCATCATTAGTTCCAAGCCACCACAGATTTACTTTTGGTTCCATTAGGTTGACCTTTTCTCAACACTTAATATAAGTTTTATCATACAGCATGTGGCCATTGAGTCTGCTTTCTTTCATTTATAATGCTTTCAAGGGTTCACCCACATTGCGGCATATCTCAATATTCCATTCCCCTTAATTGCCAAAACTATTCAAGTGAATGCATATAATACATTTTATTTCAAGTTATTGGTAGAGTTTTTGTCATTTTTTTTAGTTTCAGGGAACTACAAATAAAGCCACTGGGAAGTTTTGCATAGAGTTCCGGGAGCATACATACATTTTCTTCTTTTCAAATTCATTAAAGTACATTTGACAAGTAAGAATGCTGCATATTTAAAGTATAACATGATATTTTGATATACATATGCACAGTGAAATGCTTATTGAAAACATTTCTTTTGATTAAATATATAAAAGGTGTTCATGAGATAAGTCAATGTTTAACTTAAGAAACTACAAGCTGTTTTCTACAGTGACTGTACCATTTTTTCATTCTCAATTATAATGTACCTTATCAATATTTGTCTTTGAACAAATGCTCAGCCTTTATATTTTTCTGTATTTGGTGTCACGGTAGTTTTGAATGGCATGAGTTGTTTGTCCTTTCTCCTATTTTTTCTACTATAATATTTATCTTTATATCTATTTTGCTTTTTATAACTAAAACTTTATTGTAAAGAACTTTTCAAATAAAATATATTATGCAGTGTGATTAGCCAGATCCAAAGTCTATACATGATCTTTTATACAATTAGAAGTTCTGGAGCTTCACATTGTCTTTTAAACCTTTACTATGACTTATATTTTATGCATTTATCCATAAAGAAAAAATAAATTACATAGTTAAAACTAGATAATCAATTAGCTTCACACCCTCTTTCATGAATTGTGTCTTCACTATCTGGATTTAAATCCTTCCTCATTACCTAATGTTTGCTAGGATCCACAAGAATACACAGTAGAAGACAATTGATATTAACAAGGACGACCCACCAGACAAGACATTGTCTGATGGAGGATAAACTCATAAACAAGGTTTATGGATCCATTGCCTATGAGTTCAGATTGATTCTGCCTGTAATTCTCTTATGAGAAACCATGACATGACTTCTCCCGTAAAACAGCCATGAGATTTATCCCACAACCTTGGCAGTGTGTTTCTCCCTTTTTGGGCACCATTATTCCTGTGTACTGACAGAAGAATGACTTCACCGCACACTGTAATTCTCTTGAATAAAACAATCCCTCATAGTTCAGCCTCTCTTCCACAAAATGGTGAGAAACTTAGAAGCATGTTCTCTATAATTAGCTAAGCTGACAGGGCAAATTAGCTATACTGAGAGACTCGGTGTATGGATCACAAGCTAGACTTTTCACAGATTATACTTAAGGACATAATTGCAGATGTCGGGTTTGCTAAATCAAGGTCTTTTAGACACACAGAGAGATGGACCACTTGCCAGCTTCTCTAGCCAGTCCCAGCTGATAATGGAGACCAGCAACAACTCCCTAATAAATTCCTTAGCAATTACCACTCTGCACAAACTTCTAACCTCAGTTTATGGTACAAAATTCAAGGCTCAGCTAACTAGCTGCTTATGCTTAAGTCCTCAAATGTATATGGGTAGCAAGAATTACAGTTAACCAATCAGCCAAGTGAAGAGAAATAACTTTAAGCAAGAAAAGGTTCACAAATAGCCCTGAAAGCAGAAGATGGTCTGGCCTCTCAGTCTTGACTAAAAAGGTTGCACGCTTCCCTCCTTGTACTGTGGGGCTACATAGAGGAAAAAGAAATGTATCCTTAGGCTTGTTTAGAATTCTCTGACTGTCACTGCTCCCATTAGACACAGCATGTAGTTTATGAACTAGTCAAACTAGGTACCCATGGAAGACTGGAGAAATGTCAAAGATAAAGGAACCAAAGCCTCTAAATACGTATTTCAAAGCAGGGCAACAGATGAAGACTTCCAAACTCCTTCTCAGCTTGGTTTTCACATTCACAAAGACCTATCAAAAATTGTCCATCTGCCAATGCTTTTCCTATCCAACACCCTCTAGCCTTGATATGGTACTGTATGTTTTTAGAATCCTGCTTACTTCAACTGACAGCTTTTTTTTGATCGACCCATCAGCAGTAATATCACTTTAATTCATCTTCACACTTTAAGACTGTCAAGTCATTCTAACTTCTGTGAGGAAGTGTCACTGCAAAGGAAACTGGTTGCAGTGTGCCACTAGACCTTAGGGGTTCAGTCTCCGGGGAGTCTTGAAAGTTATGCCAGAGTGACTGCTTCCAAGCCACATGATCTCTTATTTTCAATGAAAAAATAATTCAAGAAATAAAAACAAAATGAAAGTATATAAATATGTTCAGCTGGTTCTATAGACAACCCTGTATTATCCAAGAAACAAAACACAGAATCAATATCTTTAGGAATGATTACTGTATCAGTCATCAAATGAGTTTAAGTTAAAGTAGAGGCAATGTCGTGTACTAAATTGTCATTGATAGTGCATTTGTCATTGATAGTGGCAAGACATGCAGGACATTTGTATTCTTCTATCTTCTACTCTTTCTTTTGCCCAAGGGACCCATTTCATTTTTGAAGTTATGCTACAAAGTAATTGGTTTCATACAATGTTTAATCAATCATTTTCATCTTCAAATGTGCTTTCTAGGACAACTGACATTAAAATGTGACAAAAGGAAAAATTATCCAGCTTATATATCATCTGAAAACAACAAGAAGTCCACTTGCTTTATGTTATTCCCGGAAGATGATAACGACCGTATGTACTGATTGAGCTTTAGCTAATTTTAAAGAAAATAAACCTTATCACTAATTTTTGACATACGCCCTAGAGATTCCATATTCAACAATGATGGAAGTTGTGATTTTTAATGACTTATTCAGGTATGATCATCACTGAAGAGGACAAAAGAATACTGGAAACAAACCATGACTTTCACAATTAATATAGAATGTTCCTGCAAAAAAATGTTTCATTTTCTATACAGTGTACCCGAGTAGTGGCAAAGATGTGACGTTAATCAGCTAAAATCCATTGAGATCTTATTTGTAACAGTTCAAAATCCAGCATCTTGGGTTGGAATTTAACAGAGTGGTAGATCATGAGTTTATCTGGGATGATGCTGAGAGTTCAATGCCCATCGCTAATACATAAATAATGAACTGTTAGGAATTCGGTGTGTAGCTCAGTGGTAAAATGTTTAGTGTGAATAAAGCCCTCTGTTCATCTTACCTAAGAAAGAGCATGCATGAGTCAAGGTCTATTGATGAGGACCTAAAGGAGGTAGACA